GCGTTGCTCAAAGGTGGTCGATAAATTGCAGTCTCACGGGCGACTTGTTATTCGATGTGATTGAGAATGGTGGAATGAAGTGAGGTGGACAATAGGAAAACCCTGTGTCACCACCCGTCACGCCACCGACCAACTTGACCGGCCGACTGGTTGTGTGCATAGAGCACTGGAGGTGCCGGGGATCGAACCCGGGACATCTCGCATGCGAAGCGAGCGCTCTACCACTGAGCCACACCCCCGACTGTCCGTCCGCTCCCATAAACGCTCACCAACCTCCACTCAAGTACCGCACAACTACACAACACAATCCTATCCCATTTCATCACTAAACTATTCCTTCCACACACACACACACACATAGCTGAAAAGCATCAACCCATTCTCTTACAACACCCCATCTACACCTACATCCTATCCCTCCCTCCATGCACACTTACTTACTTACGCCTCTTGCTCATAATGGAGCATAGACCGCCGACCACTATTCTACAACCCGCTCTGTACAAAGCCTTCCGTTCTAATTCTATCCAACTTTTATTCATTCTTCTCATGTCTGTCTCCATTTGTCGGCTTGATGTGTTCTTTAGTATTCCTCTTCTCCTTTGTCGTTCACGATTCCATCTTCCTAGCACAGTACACTATCACCGGTGTGTGTTTTATTCGTCATGATTATTCAATCTCATTTGTTCAAGCAATGTTACTTGTATGAACAACTTGTGAAATCGAGCATTCATTCAACTGTGCAATACTTATTTACTGCTTTATACTAATCTGTTTATGTTGTCGTTTTCTTACTCGTCTTAATTTAGAAATGAACTTGGACGAGTTGACATTACCGATTAGTGGTGAATAATGTAATGAGTGTTTTCAGCATTATCGTGCCAACAAATTCTCACTATAATAATGGATGTTTCAAATTGTTATTAGATTTTACTGTGAAACACCACAACTTACTACACCAATCTCTTCATCAATTCAATCACACTGAAGTTCCATCTGCACATGATCATTTGTTTATTTATTTGCTTATTTATTTATTCGCTCACTTATTTATTTCTAACAGACAAATTTCACTATGATAATCATGGAAACATTGAGTTGTTTGATTAGACCATTTCCTGATAAAATGTTCAATAATATTATTCAGGTGACGGTGTCCAACTTTTGGTTAGAGCGAATTCGATTGCAGTTGCATTACTCAGCTAATATGCCTGATATATACAAAGCGGACATTTACATATTTATGAGGTATTTCGCTCGGTTAGATAGTGTCAATGAAACACTACTGCTACCAAATAGAACTTTAATAACAATATTCTAAATATACATGTTGTTGTATCGAACCTGACTGAGCATTATTCTTGGATGTGAAATGGTTGACACTACTAGAGGGCAAAGTAAACTGTGAATGCTCGTTTTGAAAGGACAAGAATGTATTACTACAGCAAGTTATTTACTATTTTTGCAAGCATTTATTATGGTATTTTGTTTATCGTGAAATTGCGATTAATTAGGAACACGTTGAATTTGAATAATGATATTTTCAATTTTTTTCTCCTTGCATTTTATCAAAATATATAGTATGGTATGTTGAAAACACGTTGGGGGAAAGAAAGAGAAACACACTATTATTGATTGTTAATATGAGTATTGTAAATTACGGGAGTTGGCTTGTGTAAGAGACTATCATCTGCTTACGAGTATGCATATTATAAGAGTGTTCAATTGTTTGTTCGTTTTTAATTTACTAGCTCCTGTTCTATCGTATTCCACTCCTCCCAACAATCGAAAAAGTTGTTGTTCCAGACTTCCAATTAATTAATTGCCTACCAATGGGTAAATAAGAATAGTGATTCTTACCTTTCTAGCACGAAATTGCTACTCTAGTAATCACAGTCATCTGATTGACTACGAACAGTGAGGATGATTTACTATCCAGATTTACATACTCATTCCAAACATTTGTTGCAGCCATCAATGATTGACTTGGTATGACTTTCGTAAATAACATAAGTGCTTTACAGTGCACCAAAACACATTGAATGACGAGACTATAATTGATGGACGAACCAATGAGATTTAGGATAACGTATGTTGGATTTTGGCGCGAACTTCATAAACTTAATACCTCACACTGGTTTGTTACGGTCACTTAGTCCTAGTAAGTAGGTGGACATTGTGTGGGTGATTTTAGCGTTGCTCAAAGGTGGTCGATAAATTGCAGTCTCACGGGCGACTTGTTATTCGATGTGATTGAGAATGGTGGAATGAAGTGAGGTGGACAATAGGAAAACCCTGTGTCACCACCCGTCACGCCACCGACCAACTTGACCGGCCGACTGGTTGTGTGCATAGAGCACTGGAGGTGCCGGGGATCGAACCCGGGACATCTCGCATGCGAAGCGAGCGCTCTACCACTGAGCCACACCCCCGACTGTCCGTCCGCTCCCATAAACGCTCACCAACCTCCACTCAAGTACCGCACAACTACACAACACAATCCTATCCCATTTCATCACTAAACTATTCCTTCCACACACACACACACACATAGCTGAAAAGCATCAACCCATTCTCTTACAACACCCCATCTACACCTACATCCTATCCCTCCCTCCATGCACACTTACTTACTTACGCCTCTTGCTCATAATGGAGCATAGACCGCCGACCACTATTCTACAACCCGCTCTGTACAAAGCCTTCCGTTCTAATTCTATCCAACTTTTATTCATTCTTCTCATGTCTGTCTCCATTTGTAATGTAATTTAATTCTACCATTACAATTAACTGTACTAATGATCTGATTCTGTGATTAATTCCAATGATTGATTTTATTTTTATGTGCTTTCAGATTTATAATAAATCAATTGTCCTTGAACGTAGACAAAGATATCACCTACTCAATGTTTTCTAGTAACAATAGTAACATATAGATACATGCACATACATCCCTATTTTATATGGTGGACAATTTTTCACATCAAATCATTTCATGACCTTACTATAAACAAAACGAACGTGATTGGACAATGTTTTAGTAAGATCTTTTTTCTTTTGAACCTCATATTTTCTTTGGTAATGATGATTTCGATCATATTCCTTAATAAGACAGTTCGTATTGCTATCTCTGACAAATTTATAGGATTATTTTAGTTTGAATCCCTGAGATTATTCAATCACAATTTTTACATTTAACATAAATCTAAGTTATCCCAATACGAAGGGGGAAGGTTATATATACATTAATAAAACTAGGTCATTTTATAATTAAGACAGCAATTATCTTATTGGTTCTGAGTTTGTCCAAATTTAGGAAAGTGGTTAAACCCATTTCTATCTTACATGTAGATCCAAATAGCTATTCCTTTTACTATTTGAAGGACTCTGACACTGGAATATTTCGACAGAAATTCACTGACCCAATAAACTTCTGAAAGTGATTGATTGATAATGGCTGTTTGAACTAAACTGCAAAGCCGTTAATCGATCCGTTTAAATACACCTTTGCAAAATCACACTAAAAATTGTATACGAGCAAGGGAAAAAATTACACAACATTTGCCAGTGTAACTTGCTCAACAGGACGACTTCAATCGCAAGATGAGAAAGGTGATGGTAAATCTAGATAATTTATCTTTCCATCTCAGTATACCTATGGGAACCATAAAAAGTATACGTTATGGTCTTCCTGTATTTAAAATTCTTTGAATTGACTAGCGTAACCTCACTATTAACATTTTGTTAGCTATGGAACTTCTAAACGTCAGTCTCATTCAATGTGGTTTATGATTACAGATTGGAATTCGTGGTGTGCTTTATAACTGATCATTATTTACTTATTTTGATTTATTCATTTAAACACATAAATATTGGCACAAAGGGGCAAAAAAATAAATATGCACCACACAAATCATTGGACTTGTGTGTGACCAGGGATACTCCCAGTGTGTCTAAACCGAAGCAATGGTACGGTATGAAGCATCAATTCACACATTATTACAAGTACACTATAATGGTGAGTGCTACTTCGAGCGGAACTTATATTCGGGTTTCTCTTCCGACTACCTAACTCCCGTCGTAACCGATGAACTGAAATGTATGCAGTCAACAGCTCAGATTCTCATTTCCGTAAACACTTAGTCCAACCAGATAGTCAATACTAATCCCACCTTTCCATTGTTCACTTTTTTAGAAAAGCAAGTTATAGACTATACACTTACGATTCAGTCATTATTTCATCAACAGTAATCACCACTATCAAGAATTTTATCAAATTTTTCAATTACAAAACCACTCATCAGTAATAAGCTAACCACTCATAAGCTTGTTCATAATGGTTTTATCACACACATGAACCTTTGCGTGAGGTCTAAATTGAATGGTGTTGTGTAAGGCCTAATTTTCTTGAGTGTACGTTTTCTGGGGAGGAACAGAGGAGTGGATATAATTAACCCTCCATTACGCACACAAGCAATAATAACAACAATGTGTAAGAAAGTTGTATGTACTAAGTCGATAGGATTTGTATTTATAACATATTCATTTATATTGCTAATTCATTTATTTGGTTCCCTAATTTTTCCATAAATATCCTGTTAAACCATGTGCAGACGTGCTACTAACAATTACTTCCCCATTCAAACAATGATATGGTGAGTTTTGATTAACTCATTCCATTTAACAAATCTTCCTCCTTGTGAATTGTTCAAAATTACGGAGGGAGCAGGTAAAAAGTCATTGAATAGTGTCGGGATAGGAATTCTATTTTAATTTATTGTTAGTGGACCAGAAAGCGAATTTCAATGAATATTTAACCTTTTTTCTCAGTTTGGGACTAACCGATCCAGTCGTTTCTCACCAACAGCTGATAAATGACCTCGGTTGTGTATGTTTATATCAAAGTCGTGTGCGTGCGTGCTTGTACATGTATAAAATCAACCACTCATTGTTGACCTAACTTGTCAAGAAGAGAAATGTGATTGGTTGAATAATGGCTTCTTTTTCTAAGGATTTAAGTGAACTAAGGAGAGTTATGTGGCAAAATCAGGGTCGTCTCGTGTCGGTCTGCAAGTCAGCTTATCTATCTTTGTGAATCATGTCTGGTCGTGGTAAAGGTGGCAAGGGGTTGGGTAAAGGAGGAGCTAAGAGACATCGCAAGGTCTTACGTGACAACATCCAGGGTATCACCAAGCCTGCAATCCGTCGTCTGGCTCGTCGTGGTGGTGTGAAGCGCATTTCAGGATTGATCTACGAGGAGACTCGTGGTGTACTGAAGGTGTTTCTGGAGAACGTGATCCGTGATGCAGTCACCTACACGGAACATGCCAAGAGGAAGACAGTGACAGCTATGGACGTTGTGTACGCTTTGAAACGCCAAGGTCGTACTCTGTACGGTTTCGGTGGTTAATTCACTAGCATGTGAGCAGCTGGTGACCTGCAACTGGTCCACACGAGAACGTATTAAGGTCCTTTTTAGGACCACCACAATGTGATTTATCTTTGTTTTGTAACTGTATGGGTAACTTATGTGGTTTGGACTCTGAACGATGGGTGTTGTGTTACTATATTTAGTGTTTGGTATTCATGTTAGTGTATCGCTACTTGTACGGGTGCTCGTTTTTTTACCCAAATCTTGAGTTTATAATTGTGGAAGTGTAACTCAAGATATAATTCTGCGTTCACATTGTCAGTGGTGAAGTTGAGAATGAACATCCAGTAAGACCTCGGGTGCCCTGATATAGTCGAGGGTGGGGAGAGTCCGCTCTCTCTCTAAAAATGCTTTCACTTGGCCACGTGTACAGCCACTGTCAAGGAAGTCATGCTGATTGCATTCTCGTGGTGGGGATATCGTTTATGAAATTGAGAGGACAAAAAGCGAATGTCCGGTTTTTTGACCGTGGTGGTGGAAAGCCTTGATTCCAAGCCAGTGGTGCACATGGGCTCCAGCATCTTGAAGGGACAAATTGCGTATGCACCTATTGTTGGTCGCCGGCTGCCGTGGAGCTGCATCTCCTGATGTTGTATTAGCGATAACTAATTGGTGGGGGGGTATATTCACCAACAGAACAATATTACAACTGAATCTGTTGATGATTCTAAAGTATATGAAGTACCCTGAGGTATTCTGTTGATCTGCATTGTTTCCAAACTTGAGTAATATCAGCTCGTTTGAAATATTCCCTTAGTCCGTGAATACAGTCAACCGTCTCATATTAGAAAGTAGTTATCAGAAGTTGGAACGTACGTATTTGCGAAGTCATATTCCAAATTGGTATTTTCTATGTAAATTCCGTGTCGATCTAAGTTTGATCAAGAAAGAAATCCTGGGAGTATTAGATTACTATTTCGTTCTATTATGGGACGAAATTTATGACCTCGAGCTCAGAACTTGCGAGCGATCGGTTAACTTCAAACATTTGTGGCCCGAGATCTTACTCCGTCTTGCTAATTTTATGATAATGTCCGTATAATGAACCTAGGCTAAGCCCGTTTGTGCGACGGTCGTAATAATAAGCAAAATGATAATTGATTTGAATTAATTTACTTCAGGCTCTCGAATACTCAGATAGACATAAACATTAGAATTGGGAAAGCGAATGGGAGAATGCGTACATGCCAGCTCATCATACTATTCATTGTAAGTGTTAACAATGCTCAAAATAGTTAATGTGTAGTGTAATGAAAAGACGAATCAAATGAAATTATGAGTGATAGACATATGTACGTATACACAACTCTCATAAACACATAAGACAAAGATATATACCTTCTGAAGTTCACAAGTACCTATAAATAGAATAGAGTTATTAGGAATCTAACGATGATTCAGTCGTCACATGCTGTCTAAGTTATTAAAGTATGTTCAAATACTAAGATGAATCTGTGTTTTATTACTGAACAATACGAGACTGCTGAGCCACCATCGAATGGTGTTTATATCCAACATCATTCCAGAAATATACAATTTTCAATAAGTTGTTTAGTGGTATTTAAAGAAGAAAGTATATTTCTAAAAATCTCAGTGATCGAACTTTAGTTCAACATTTCTCTTGAAAATTTGGTTCAGGCTTGTCAAGAAAATATTTCCTCCCTAATGTCTTATATAAATGCTGCGCCCAACTACTGTAAAACTGTTCGTTTATAGTTGGACAAAAAATATTTTATAAATATTTGAGGTTCTTTTTCGACTTTTTAGAGATTTAATTTGAAAAAGCATCACTGAGTATTGTATTTAATAGTTGTATAATTTTCGGGTCAATCTGACTGTCATTGATAGCTAGAATATTAATTTGACTTGGAACATATGTGTCTGAAAGACAATCACATGACAAAATTTTTCCGTATCAGATTCAACATCTGGGTGAACATTAGTTGTCCAAAATACAGTCACAGCGCTTAAATTACTAAGGAAACGTTCGCCGGACAATTTAGCATGTGATCCAGTGTGGTGCTATGTGGTTAAGTATGTCATGGAGTCTCTGAAAATCCACTGACTTTGGCGTTTTCATCGAAATTTTCGATGATTCACGCAATTAACTCGGAATCAGATTGTAAGTTTTATGTACATCTTTATTCCTAGCAGTTTCCTTTAGTATAAAAGCTGGTTTTTCTACTGATTACCCCCTGTGAATATTAGTATTAATAACTGTGCACATCCAGTTCATGACTACCTTACAAATTTCGTGCAGTAGAATTTACTAAATAAGTCAGGCTGATGAACAAAACGAAATAGTCTTTCTTCGAAGTATGTTCTTTATTCTCAATCATAAATATCCATGACTACAATCAGAGGACTTCTGTTTCACCAACTGCAATATTTGTTAGAATAAATTAATTTGCGCCAAAAAACTAACTTTTGGGTAATCACAGGTATCAGTTCGCAGACGGTGCAAATAATCATCCTTTAGATACAATTTTGTTCAAGATATTCTGAAATACAAATATCAAATAAAAACGTAACTCCTCAATAAATGAATCGCATGATGTTGGTTTCGATAGATACAGCTGACTAAAAATAACGAGCTACATATAACTTTACAACATCAACTTGAAAAGAATAACTTGCTTCAACGCCATTTAGTAATTGAGTAGTAGTTGAAAAGTATAAACAAGGTGATTGATACATATAATTCAGTTTGGAAAGGACAGGAGGCTTGATGGCCTGTGTAAGTCCTGGCAATGATGGTCTCTCAGCTGATCCAACTTTCTTTTGAAGGAGTCGACTGATGGAGCCTCAACCACGTGCTGAGGTAATGAATTCCACTCGTTGTTCATTCGATGTGAAAGTCGGTAGTCAGCTGGCAAGTAATTCGTTCGGGGCTTGTGAACTTTTTTTGAGTGTCCTCGTCGATTTTCTGTTTTGGAAGACAAGAAAAATGTGGGCATATCAGGTGCAAATTTGTCTTTAAGCAATTTGAAAACTGTAATCAAGTCGCCTCTGATTCTTCTATATGACAGCGGGAATAGGTTTAGCTTGGTCAGTCTAGAACCATACGGGAGCTTCGCTATCCCGGGAATCAGTCTAGTTGCTGTTCTCTGAACCCTTTCCAAGAGTTCACTGTCTTTTTTTAGGCAGGGGCTAGCTGCTTGTATACAGTACTCAAGTTTAGGGCGTACGAACACTGCATACAAAGTCATAAACGTTTTAGCGTCAAGATGCCTAAAAGTCCTGCGTATGGACCATAAAGTCCTAAAACCTTTGGCGGCTATTGCACGGCAGTGTGCAGTAGTCTTGACTGACGATGACGCCTAAGTCATTGTGTGCCTAAACAATAGGTAACTCAGTGTTATTCATCGTGTATGTATCTGTACCCTGGTGGCCAATATGCATCACAATACACTTGGAAGTGTTTATTGGCAATTGCCAGGTTTGGGACCATTCAGATAATCTCTCCAGGTCGTTTTGAAGTTCTAAGCTATCGCCCCTGCTTTGTATCACTCTATATCTTGACATCGACAGCATAGAGTAAGACCGATGACGATCGTAGATGAAGGAGGTCATTTATGTACAGGAGGAATAACACTGGCCCCCAAACAGTACCCTGGGGGACTCCACTAAGCACAGTTTCCCAGCTAGACAACTTGGAGTTCACCCTTACTCTTTGTTGACGCCCAACTAGGAAGTCTTTTATCCACATCAATAGGTTGCCTCCAATCCCGACATTCCTTAGCTTATATAACAGCCGGTTATGTGGAACTTCCAAGTTCGCATTGACGGCTTTAAAATACTGTATTTTTGAGTACCGGCTCACAACATCTCAAGCATTTTTCACATACGCACCAGTACGACTAGGTACATAGGCAGAACTACTGTAAACGAACCAGTGGCAGTTGCGTCAAGTTAATTTTAACATTAGCATTCTGAGAATAAATTTTTAAGGGTCATCACAAAGGCCGTTTAACCCCTGAATACTAAATGCCAATGTCGGTGAAACTCGCACCGAGAAATAACACTCAGGTACACAATGACCTGACGCCGAGCTTCGACATACCTTCACTATTCCAGAACAAGTACAACGCTGCATGACGTGATTACGGCTGCCTATTCGGTCACAACTACTGACAGCAAGCAGTTCCAATGACGTTGTCACTAAACATTACAACAACTGGTTATCGCAATAATACCCAGATGCATTCACCACTAACAATGCGAACGCAAAAGCATCGTACGAGCACCCGTACAAGTAGCGATACACTAACATGAATACCAAACACTAAATATAGTAACACAACACCCATCGTTCAGAGTCCAAACCACATAAGTTACCCATACAGTTACAAAACAAAGATAAATCACATTGTGGTGGTCCTAAAAAGGACCTTAATACGTTCTCGTGTGGACCAGTTGCAGGTCACCAGCTGCTCACATGCTAGTGAATTAACCACCGAAACCGTACAGAGTACGACCTTGGCGTTTCAAAGCGTACACAACGTCCATAGCTGTCACTGTCTTCCTCTTGGCATGTTCCGTGTAGGTGACTGCATCACGGATCACGTTCTCCAGAAACACCTTCAGTACACCACGAGTCTCCTCGTAGATCAATCCTGAAATGCGCTTCACACCACCACGACGAGCCAGACGACGGATTGCAGGCTTGGTGATACCCTGGATGTTGTCACGTAAGACCTTGCGATGTCTCTTAGCTCCTCCTTTACCCAATCCCTTGCCACCTTTACCACGACCAGACATGATTCACAAAGATAGATAAGCTGACTTGCAGACCGACACGAGACGACCCTGATTTCGCCACATAACTCTCCTTAGTTCACTTAAATCCTTAGAAAAAGAAGCCATTATTCAACCAATCACATTTCTCTTCTTGACAAGTTAGGTCAACAATGAGTGGTTGATTTTATACATGTACAAGCACGCACGCACACGACTTTGATATAAACATACACAACCGAGGTCATTTATCAGCTGTTGGTGAGAAACGACTGGATCGGTTAGTCCCAAACTGAGAAAAAAGGTTAAATATTCATTGAAATTCGCTTTCTGGTCCACTAACAATAAATTAAAATAGAATTCCTATCCCGACACTATTCAATGACTTTTTACCTGCTCCCTCCGTAATTTTGAACAATTCACAAGGAGGAAGATTTGTTAAATGGAATGAGTTAATCAAAACTCACCATATCATTGTTTGAATGGGGAAGTAATTGTTAGTAGCACGTCTGCACATGGTTTAACAGGATATTTATGGAAAAATTAGGGAACCAAATAAATGAATTAGCAATATAAATGAATATGTTATAAATACAAATCCTATCG